GGACCACATAGAGAGTTAGATATCCAAATAAGGTTCACTTGGTATATGAAAGCTATTACTAGGATTCAATTTTAATATGGATGTAATATATAAAGTAATTGATAGGTCTAAAATATGAAATTTCCATGCCAAAATCATGGTTAGTATTATTATTTTGATTAAAGTAATAGGAAATTTTCATGTTACTTGTTTTATTAAAATATTATATAATGTACCGTATAAGATATGATAAACAAAGTATACTTTTTAATATTGTAAAGTATTGCTTAAAAGATTTTTGCGTGTATTTCTTACTTAATATAATAAGAAAATATTTTATCATAACATATTTGGAAATAAAATTAGTCGAATATTTTGAATGTCTCTAGTTAAAATCATGGTTAGTATTTCCATTTTAAAGCAATAGCATATCTTTCTTCCGTAGCATCTTTTTCAATTTTAAAAGATATCTTTTTTAATTTTGTTCTTTCTCAAGAATTTAAGGGATTTTAAAAAGGGGAACTCCCTCTCTCGTGTCACTCTCTCTCTCTCACCTACCTTTACATATCTCTCCCTATCTCTTAGGCATTATTTTTTAAGAATCTCCTCTTATTGTATTTAAAAGGCAACAAAGATTTTACATGGTTTTAAAAAAAAAATTCCCTTTCTCTCCCCTATGTATCTCAATTTTAGAAGATAAAAAAATAATCTCCTCGTATTGTATTTAATAGGCAACAAAGATTTTACGTGGTTTTAAAAAAAAAGTCCTTTTTTCTCCCCTATGTATCTCAATTTTAGAAGATATCTTTTTTAATTTTTTTCTTTCTCAAGAATTTAGGGGATTTTAAAAAAGGAAACTCCCTCTCTCGTGTCACTCTCTCTCTATCACCTACCCTTACATATCTCTCCCTATCTCTTAGGCATTATTTTTAAAAATCTCCTCCTATTATATTTAAAAGGCAACAAAGATTTTACGTGGTCATAAAAAAGAAATTCCCTTTCTCTCCCCTATGTATCTCAATTTTAGAAGATATTCTTTTTAATTTTTTCCTTTCTCAAGAATTTAGGGGATTTTAAAAAGGGAAACTCCCTGTCTCGCGTCACTCTCTCTCTCACGTACCTTTACATATCTCTCCCTATCTCTTAGGCATTATTTTTAAGAATCTCCTCGTATTGTATTTAAAAGGCAACAAAGATTTTACGTGGTTTTAAAAAAGAAAATCCCTTTCTCTCCCCTATGTATCTCTTTCTATATCTCCCTCACAAACTCTCTCAACCATAGAAATATAGGAAGTAAATTGTACAATTTGGCCTAAACTCCTACATTGTTTAGGATACTTAAATTCTATCCACTCTTATGATAGGTATTTTCTTATTCTTTTGACACGTGTCTACCCTTTAACTCTGGCGTAATGGTGTAGTATAGATATTGACTCATATTCGTCTATTACCACGGGTAAAACACGCTTATTTGTGACAATCAAGCACCCAAATTATACTTAAAAGAGTCTCCATATTCGGAGTAGAACCAGTAGTATTTCTCCCTCAATTACACATCCATGCTGCACATTGTGCTCCAACGACAAAGGCAATTAGTGGTACGAGCCCCCCTCTGAATAGCGAGATTTACTGCAATGAGTAATTTTATGCAAAATGCAAAGTGTGTTTCAAAGTGCCCTTACCATCATACTCATGTGCGTCACATCCTTTGCATCCTCATAAACATTCTCTCCCTTTTGTTCCATTAACACAATTGTGAACTACTATACAAATTGGATTATTATTTTTCATTTAATACTAAAATCCCCTATGCTTGTATGTCTATCATCATTATCATCATAGCTTGTTTCAAACTATTTGGAGTCAACCACACGAATCCTGATCTACTATTTCTACTTTATCAATGGTCATATCTTCAGTGAGGTCATAAGTTCTCATATCTTTTCTCACTACTTTCAATCATGTATTTTTCCTATAGATCTGATGTTTTTTGACCGCCCAACATTCTGCCCCATAAAACAGGTCTCACAGTTGTCTATAGAACTTCTTTTTCACTTTTATTGGTATGCGGCGATCACAAAAAGCTCCAGTTGCACATCTCCACTTTTTGCAAATTTCTATATCTATAATAACACAAAATGAGTTGTTCTAAAGATTATGGTTCAAAAAAAGCATAGTCTATTTACTCCCTTTGGGTAAAACTGTATCCAAGAGTATTTTTAAGACCCCATATTTGGGGGTTCAACCTTTCAACTTAGAGACTAACCTTAAAAAAAAAAAAGTGTACTTTGTATGTGCTTGAAAAATGACTACCCAAAATTGAGCAGGGACAGTCCAATTGTTAGAGGATGATATCCATGAGTTGAACTCAAATTTCATCTTTGTTGTGTTGAAAATAATCATGCGGTAATTTTTAGGTGGGACCAAAATTTCATATCTAAAAATTACACCCAAATAGATCTTTTGTCCAAGGGAGTAAGTGTATAGTATGCTCTTGAGGGAGCACTATATATCCCATCGAAAGATATTATTCTCAAATAGAATCTAATAAATACAAAATAAAAAATACAAAAGAAACCCAGCAAAGATACATCTTCGAAAACAATCTTCCATCCAAGTAAAACTGTTTTAGAGTTCTCATGTTAAAGCGATAAAGAAATGAAAATGTGATATAATAAGATCATTTACTTTTGATATCGCAATCATTATTGACGATTAGATGTGAAATGGGATGATTGGATATGTATCATAGGCACAAAGTTTAAAATAATTTTTTTTGAATATTGTAAAATACTTCAACTATCAAATTTCATATATAATAACAAAAAATGATTGTGACTTTGTACCAAAAATAAATAGTCTTACAATATCATCGTCGTCACCTTATCTCAACTAGTAGTCTTTTTTTTTTTTGGACAATATTGTTTTTTGGTGACCACAGTGGGAGTCGACTCATTTTGACTGTTTATAGAGTGCAAATTGAATTTTACTTTTTTGGGATTAATTATTGGGATAATACAAATGTCACAAACATGAATTTCTAGAAACATGGTTTCATTATATTACAATGACATTGTGATATATATATATATATATATATATAGAATGATTTCATGCAACCGCGTCATTGTAATAAAATAAAATGAAACCGCACCTCAAGAAAAACCATAGTTTAAATCATGGTTTTTTTGCTCTATTTAGAGTCTTATGCATACAACCCCTAAGGAAATATAAGGTGACTTTTCAGATCACAAATTGTTTAGGGTCACATGTGATAGGTTCTCTTACAATTTCAAGAAATGAAAAAAGAGTGAACCTTTTCAAGCGTTGGATTTGAGAATCCCTTGAAGAAGCCGTCTCCCTTCTAGAGTCAATTTGTGTGAAACTTGATTTTGAGCATTTCCTAAGCTCCAAATCAAATTCTTTTCAATTGATCGTAAGAATCAAGAACGACGACCTAGAAATTCTCAATTCAAGAAAAAACAATATTTTAGGGCAGCTGAACATTTGTTCATGTTGGTTTGGCATGGGCACCAATTTTTTTGTATTAAAAAAGGCTATCAATGGAGCCAAAACTCTTCAATTTTTTCTTGATGGGATATGCCATGGACAAAAAAACATACCCATCATCAGTGGTGGAGGTGCAATACATGCATCAGCAAGTACAGGTCAGAAGGCATCAATTCCAAAGCTTTGGCAACTGGGAAGAACTGATCAAGAGATTCACATAGGGTGACATATTGCCATAAATTTGGGGTGGGAGAACATGAAATACACATTAACCTTTTACTCCCCACTCGTTTTTTAGTTCCTTCTGAAGCATATTGGACGTTTATTCTCTCGATGAGAAATCCTCGTCAAAGATGATTTTTTTTTTCTTTTGGTTCCAAAATTTCAGTACCTACCTATATATCATAAGATGATTATTTTCCTAGACATATATTTTACATTTTGAATTCTTTGACATTAATCTCGAAAAATTGGACAGTTATTTTTTTCAAGCACATACAACATACCATTACCATTTGAATTTTTGCTTTTCCACCCAATTAGAGGATCTGTTTTGCCTATTATTGTGTGTTGTAAATTCCAGTGGGTGGCAATATTAAAATTCTATCAACAATTTAGAGAGAGAGAGCTCAAAGAGCAATAAAGCACACCCAAGCCATGGCCATTGATGTGATTGTACACGGTCCCCATTTAAAAAGAGTAGAGCAGATCAACCCTGGCAGATTACAGGGCCACAACTTGATGGACCTCCATATATATAAGAGGTCCAATCATGGATCCTTGCCTTTAGCCATTCATTTGCTCACCTTGTAAACAATTACAAACAAACAAAAGAAGATTTCAAGAACTTAAAGCCGTGGGATCTATTTCGTCCCTCTAGTTGGGGGTTTAGAGTGGATCTTTGAAAGGGAACTGACTTGGAGCACATTTTTGGCACCCATTTTTTTTTTTTTCAATGGAATTGGTCTTGGGGCTCATTGAAGATCATCACGAAGTCATTGGATCAGAAAAGTTCCCCTAACTCTGCTTTTGTGCAGGTTCAGACCCTGGTGGATTGCCTACCTAATATGGATCCTTCATACATATCCCAGTGATTTACTGTTAGCAAATCACCATTTGTCAAAATGATAAGAGAGAGAGAGAAAGAGAGAGATTTGGAATTATTCACTGAGATAAAAGTACTGTTATTTCGATATTTGTTTGCTTTCTTCAAAAACAGACCAATTTACACCTTAAGACACAAATGGCTACATCGAATTTCATGCTGGGGTTAAGACTTGAGGCCCACCATGCAAATATAGTTTTATTTTGTTAAAATCATCATGTATAAGCATGATCGTATCTCAATATGGATGGAGATCTGTCTTAGATTCTCCCCCCTATATTTTGAGTTCAAGTCAGGGTTCAGATTTCAGAAGAATAGAAAGGAATAAGTAATATGCTTATGACTGAACATCAAGTTTTAATATCATTAGTATATATCAGTAAAACAGCTTGTCAGAATGCTTAGATGATTAAAGAGAGTATTTCTTTCATTGCAATCAATTCCTCCCAGAACAATTCCCTATGCATATGAAACTTTTCCCTGCCATATACATTAATTAATTAACCAGTACTGTACATCAGAGAAAGAATATGGGATAAAGAAACATATCCAAGCCAACAAAAGTAATGCAACCAATGGCAAGCACTATGCATCCCAAGATAAAACAATGAACATGAATATACACAATTATATGGAACCCGAGAGAGGGCTTTCCAAATGCTGATGAGTACCTGAACTTCTCATGCAGAATATAGCATACCTGACAGAGAGTATAATCATGGCCAGTTTCTATCAATCACTTTTCAAACCTTTGGAAGAGATCAAATAGTGGCCGATAAAGAATTACAGCAGCCGGGGGTCTCGGTAGGAAGCCAAGGAGGATCTCAGATGCTTGGATGGATGAACTCCCGTAGAATCTTGAATTTTCAGAGATGCGTGTAGTGACGACACTTCCCTCAAGTGAGCAGCCCACAAATGCACCTGCACCATATCAAAATAGTGAGGAAAACCCACTTGTTTCTCTTTTGTTTCTATTTTTTAAGTTTTCTGGCACCACTACATAAAAATATTAAGATTGTTGCATTTATATTAAGTAATTTTTTGGTTAAAAACAAGCACAAATGTTTCTTTATGCCCATGAAAGAAAAAGAGACTGGAAAATGATTTCAGGAACATTTTGTAACTTTCAATCAAGAACGGTTTCTTACTAGAGAGTAAAAAAATCAAATTGACAAGTCCACATGGAATGTAAAATCATGATGGAACAGAGACAAACTTGCCCCTGGGGCAGCTGTACCAAGTGACATTTCATGGAATAACTAATTATCCAAGATATGAATATTTCACGAAAAATAAGCATCACATAACAGAGAAAGGACAGATATTCTAGTTAACTCTCAACTTCAAAAAGATCCTCAAACTAGGATTGCTTCCTTTCGTCAAGTGAGCATTTTTATGCAGCATTTGCAGCTAATAGTTGAGATCAATGTTCCAAAACTCGCCTGAGTTTAATCAGACTCGAGCGAGTTACTCGGACTCACCCTATGGATAAGGCCGAGTAAAGGTGTACACTATACATTATATTATATAAATAGTATTATGTTCAATTTCATTCATATAACAGCTAAATGTCTTGGTGGCTAGTGTTTACCATCTATGGTCCTCATGGTTGGTGGTCGAATCCCCTCAAGCACACTATACCACCCTATAAGGCATAGGAATATATTGTATTTATTTTTTAATAGAGGTCCAAAAAGCTTGCCATTGGGATGGTTCGATCCCTAGACATCCTGGGGAGAGCCCAAGACATCTACCGAACAGCAATTTGGACATTTTTGCAAATACATATAATTTTCTATTTTTTTTTTTTTAACAGACTGGACTCCGGAAAGTTACTCGGACTTGCCAGAGTATCTCGCCTTGGTGAATAGGTGAATACCTTGGCCGAGTCGAATCCCAGTACCTTGGTTGAGATTTCAGTTTGTTTGACAGCAATTATTCTAATAATTGCAAAAATCCAAGTACCGCTGTCATATAAAAGAAAGTCACAAATCATGGTTGCATAAGAAAAATATTTCAATGTGCTCCCTTTTCTTTTCCATTTGATCTGATTTTAATAAGAAAAAGCTTGCCTTAAAGACCACAACACCGAGCTCTTTGGGTTCAAATCCCAGCTTACATTTGAAATTTTTAAGCCGGCCAGATTGACTGGCTATCATTTTCCCAAATGTTGCATCATTAAATCCATTCTAAATTATACCTTTACTGCAGCTGTAGGTGTAACAAGCTGCATAGCCACCATCACCTGCACGTATATCAGCTTCAGCTGATCGCCCTAAAATCCCAGCAGCTGCACTAAGACCTGCACCGACGGAGAAATGCACATTTCCACTGAATGTTTTCACAGCATCATCTGTCCTCAGCACAACTATAAAGTCTATCAACTCGCCTCCCCCCTGTTAAAATTCAAGAACACACTTGGATAAGTATCAAGACTACATAGCGAGGGGGGGACGGGGGGGAGAGAGGAGAGAGAGAGCCAATGCAACAATTACATACCAAGACTAGATAGATAGATAGATAGAGAGAGAGGGAGGGAGAGAGAGAGAGATGGGCAGTTCCTGGAATTCAAGGATGTATTTGTCATTTCAGCTAAGCCACAGATATATTTGATCGATGATGAAAAGTGAAGGTTATCTGATCATTTTTTAAGAGAGAGGATTGTTTTATCAAGATGTGGACAGTGTTCTGGACCTTCCGGTTAAACCCAATGCATTTGAAACAATTTCCAAGAAAATATAGGTATTTGAAGTTTATTACCATAATGTTCCATAAGTTGTCCTAAAAAATGCAGGTCTTTTTATCTTTCAAAAAACAAGTACATTTTAATTTATAGGCTGAACTAAAAAAAAACCTTGAAAACAAGGTCTCTTTTCTTGTCCTCTTTAGTCACACTAGTTTCCTTTGGTGTGTTATGATCCTGCTTTCTACTAGAGTAAGACTAGAAATATTCTTCTTTCTCCTTTTTAATAACTAAATACTTGTCATTTTGAGTACACCTTGTGTGACATAACACGAGTTAGAATACCAGATAGAGCACAGACTGAAATTCATTTTGGTTTATTAGGAACCAGAGACACCCAGCACTAACAAAATATAGATCTTTGTTCGATGTTATCCATCCAGCTGAACAAAACTCTTTTAAAGTGTCTTTCAGAATCATTACTTCACATTTCAAAGTCTACTTTTCCAGCACCGTAGTGGACCAGCTGGTCCAATCCAACAAACACAGAACCAGGGAGCAAAATTTTGGGCAGTGCCCTACCCCAAAGTAGGTTCTTTTTTATGCAACCCACATCGCCTGCTTAATATTCCCCTCCCATGTCAATTTCATTAGAATTCTTACAACTTTAAATACTTTTTAAGTACGCAGTATTTTCATCAGCAACCAGAAAGATATGAACAACATATCCAACAGCCAATATGAGTATATTCCCGAGAAGCAATATCATCTCCAAGATGTCACCGAAGGTTTCATCACAATTTCTGAAACCTAGCCACCCTCTGATGAGCCTACCAATGCCTCTGAGGAAGGTATGAGGCTTAAAATAATATATTTATTTTATTTTTCAATTAGTATTGGTGCAAGACAGGGTTGAAACCGAAAGCTCAAATGGAGGCACTCAATGTTGAACATTGAGGTTATGGGTTTGGAGTTTGGACCCAGTGAACCTACTCCAAAAAAGACATAAGCAGAACATCAATACATAAGATGCTCTCAAAAAAAATATGCACAACACAATGAAAATGCCAAGTGGGTGATTTCTCCAATCAAATAATGAGAATCACCCACAATTACCCCACAAAAAGAAAAATTCATGAAACAGAGAAAAGGAAACTGCTCTCAGCTACAAGGCGAAACAAGAGCATATACCCTAAGGACTGAGGACTGTCCTCAAAGCAAGAAACTCTGAAGTGGAGGTGTCAACCATTCCATTAGGTCTTCCAAACAAAAGAAAATTGCTCCGAGCATACCCTTCTTAAGTCCCTTCACCTCCACTTCACATTCCTTTAGCTAATATCTGGTGAATCCAAACTAAATGAGATCCCCGAAACAAAACACCCTCTCCCAACGTGAGCCATCTAATCGAATTAGGAATATTTCCCCTCATGACACAGAGCACGAATTGTGTTCAAGGTGGTGTTTGAGGTCAATCCTAAAACAAGAAAATCCCTAGCTTGAGTTAACAACATCATTAGATCTGCCAAAAAAAGAAGTGAATAGCATAAGCTTGACTCATCATTTCAAAGCCCTTCGAAGCCTTCTAATGTTTATGCCCACTGTATGAGCAAAACATTCCTTTTTAAGCTAGCCACAATATAATTTGAAGACAAGAAATGCACCAATTCAATTGTGACGAATCACTCAAACAAGGAACCAATTGGCAAGGACCCTAAAGTGCACTTCTTGTGTTTCTTCTTGTTTAAATTATGAAGCCTCGATGTGCCATTAGCAATACACACCTCATAAAACTGCTAAGCGTGCTTGTGGAAGAAGAATGCTTCGATGAGTCACCCTTGTGCCACACTTGCACCTGCCAAGTTAAAAAATTGAAAGAAGAATGCTTCTCTAGTCGGTACCGAAAGGAAGGCTTATGAATCAATTGTTCATTTTGAAGCTTAAAACTCAGCCCAGCCCAGACACCATTTCTGCACTTGATCCTTTAAATAGGGATTTTGTTCTTCAAAATCAATTGTCTTGCTAATAACGCAACAACTTTTTGATGTTCATATAAAACGACAACAAGGTAACTAAATCTCCTAACATCCATATGATAAAAAAAAATTTGCACTCAACCCCATCATTTTTCATTGAAAGAAATTACAAAACATTTAATGCATTAAAACAGAAGTCTCATATCTTCTTTTTTCTTTTTTTCTCCCCAACATTCTTTCATTTATCTTACGTAACCGTGAGGTTCATACTAGTAACAATGTGATTCAGAGTCATCATCATCATCATCAAATCATTATCCAAACAAACTATTTGGGGTCGGCTACACGAATCATGTTCTACCAGTTGCTCTATCAAAGGCCACACCCTCGGTAAGACCATAAGTTCCATATCTTTTCTTATTACTTCCATCCATATCCTTTTGAGCCATCCCCTTGCCCTTTAAGATCCTTCAACTTGAACAAAATTGAACCTCCTACCCAGTGTTGTATTGGGTCTATGCTGCACATGACCCGCCCACTTAAATCTACTTTCATCATCTATGTGCGACATCTTCCGCAATCTCTCCATTTTTCTGGATTATCGATCCAAGGTAGTGTTTTCAAATGCGAGATGCAGCCAAAAGCATTGGGGGGGGGGGGGGGTGATGCAGCAATGCGGCTCAATGTGGTCTGAATGTAGATGCATCGTAGTGATGCGGTCAATAAATATAAAAGAAATCTATTTTTTTTAAAAAAAATAGGTTAATTCATAGAAAAAAATGAATGTGATATATGTGATATTAGATATTTAGATTATTCATTAACTCCAAAAATATTAGTTGTCTGAGATTCTGTATCCACTATCTCTTGGTAGAAGCTAGAGACTTGAAACTAGCTTCATAAAACATTCAACGGTCAACAACCATAAGCACAAATCTGCAACAAAAAACTTACTAAAGTTATAAATTTTATAAACTCTTTAATCTTGAAAAGAGTCCATGAAGTTCTTCGACTCGATTTGTATGCTTTTTATAAACTTTATAAATTTATAAAAATGTTGTAATTTTACGATATCAGAGCATTTATGAAGATCAAAAAAAAATTTATGAATTCATTAATTTGTAATTTTACTGTATTAGTCTATGAACTCTTTAAAGTTGCAAATTTTATTTGAAAAGTATTGGGAAAAGTTCTTCGATTTGTAACTTTAATCTTCCTGAACTTTTTAATTTGTAGTATCTTGTATTAAAAACCAAAAAACTCAACAAATAAAATTTCCGCCCAAATTTTTTTTTTGAGTCAATCAATCCAATAAAAGCCATGGATGTGGCTGAAAATTGGTGTTTGGGTGGGTTTAATACCCCCCAAACCCTTTCCCCCCATTTTCAAAGATCAAAATGACCTTATTGCCCCTGCCCAAGGGGTACAATTTTGATGCGGCCGCATTTTAAAACATTGATCCAAGGTATCAAAAATTCTCTCTTTTAGGTATTTCTCAGCCATCAATTGTAACTGCTTCCTTATTTCTACTCCTATTACTATTAAACTTGCATTCCATGTATTCTATCTTAGTCCAGCTAATTTTAAAACATTTAGATTCCACAGCATCCCTCCAAAGTTCTAACTTTGCGTTGACGTCGCTTCTAGTCTCATTGATCAAAACTATGTCATCCGCAACCACACACACCACAATACCTCATCTTGTAAAAATGTGCTTCAGAGTAAGTGCTCCAAATCACCAGGGTAAGTTCATTGACTAGAATAGGCACCCTCAGATAGTTCGAGAAATATAAGAGGTCATCACCAGCCTTGAATTTGTCTGACGAATCCATGTTTGCAATTGTCTTCAGCAAGCATTATGATACTGTTGTTTTGGTGCTTTTAGTGATGAAACATTCATTCAGTAAAGCGATATGCAAAGAATGAAAGTTCAATCCTTTAAATCGTCATCTAGAGGACAAGAGGGCAACATTTCAATGCCCAAAACCTGCAAATACTGATGGGTCATCATGCCAGACTGTTAATTAAGCTACTACTAAGTAACGCGAACCCATATGGCAGTCTAGATTTTTCATACTCATCAATCCAATTTACAGGCTTATGTTTTGTATTTTAATGCAACACCACAGACAAATCCAATTTAAAGCCTAGACGAGTAAACCACAGAAACATGCAAGTGTACAGAGTTAATCCCAAAGCTGAGTCCAGGTGAGTTTGGGAGCAAACTGTCAACCAGCATACAAAGGCATAAAGCCATCTACAAGGCATTCCAAAAACTGTTGATGGCACTTCCAGAAACCTTTAGATAAGTTAATTTGTGCTTTATTTGACAAAGACAAGTTGAGGGTCTTCTGGAAAACCATATTAAACAAACCAAGAGGAACAGAGGGATATATTACTCACATACCTAGGAAGAAACTTTGCCATACATGAATATCAAGAATATGCAGTTTGATACAATTGCAAGCTTAGTTAGGGAGTGTTTTGCCTCAAATCAAGGGTTGGCACAGTGCCGACCATGGTTTCCATCAAATGAAATCCCTCCCCCCTTCCTCATCATTCTATTCCCTGCTGACTGTAAAATAATACTACTTTTAGAAAAAAAATTGTTTTTTTTTGGGGGGACAGGGGCGGGGGGCGGTGCGGGGGTGGTTTGTATGAGGCAGAGTCACCCATATGCACAAAAAACCACAATATAGTTACTTATCCAACCCTTGATTAGCAGTACACAAGAAGGGAATGGCATAAGCATATTATCAACAGAGTTTAATCATTTCATCTCCCCAATCCACTTTCACATCAGGTTTATTTCTTCTTATCATTTACCTCAGTATATTGTTGGGACATATAGTTCTGAGTCAACGATTGTTCCAGGTTTGAAAGATGAAAGAGAATCTTACTCTTTTGGTAATGTGTAATGGGTGTGATCTGGATTTTGGCCTAATTTTAAAGGACAGTGTATTACACAGTTTTTCCATTCTTAGCATCTAAAAATCGGGTATTTTATTGGTTTCAGAAGGGATAACAAAATGGCAGCAGATCATTTCCAAAAGTTTCTCATAGAATTCCATCTGCAAAAAGTCCACATGAAAACCTACTCTAGGATAGCAGCAAAAAGTTGTGGTTATCTAAGTTGCACAAGTAACAAGGTATATATTACCTGGGCACCCCATCCCACTCCAAAAGAAGAAATGGCAGAAGGTGGCGACCATGAGCCATCTTCTCTACGGGCAATTACAATACCAGTTCCAACCTTATAAGTGACCATCAATCCAACCTTTGCAACAGTAAGAATGGCCAGGCCTTTTGCTCCTCGTAGAACAGCATCTGGGATAGACCTTTCAGGTCTCAAATAACCCACCTGAAGAAATTAGTATATGCTGGTAGTGTTAGAAGGCCATTATAAACCAAAATCATTGTTAAAACCACAAATCACCACCGTGATCCGCAAATAAGCAATAATCACCTTATACATCAGTCACTTTGTAATATAACCAAAATGACATGCATTTCCCACTCATTACAAATATTTGAGCTTTGAGCAGTCTTCCAATATGAATAAAATATCTGAACTATGTGAACCCACTATTATTGATAAGAGAATGTATACTATGAGACCATCTATTTTTGGTGAAGATCTTGTAATTTGGACACTAGGAACAATGCACAAAGTTCGTGAAATTTTCGTTTAGCATTGTGCTTAATCAATGGCACACCCTTAACCATTTGATTTCACATTTACTGGCTAGGAACAAGTGCGAACTCGTTGGATAAAAAATAAACGCCCTCATCTTATACTTTCTCTATTGATAATTATGAAAGTGAAGTGTAACAAGATGCATGCAACATACAAACAAAGATGAACTGTTCCTTTAATCAAGTCCTTCATCCCATTCATGCATTAGAACAATTTGTCTCATTAGTCTATTGTTGACAACAAATATTTTGTGTGCTTGTGCATCATAGTAGACAATTCCCATTATAAATATAATTGGAAACAATATTCCAAAAAATGTCGGGCGGTGCCTAGGTTGCCGGGTGGGTCCAGGCTGCCCAGCACCTAGGCAGGTGCCTAGGTGGGCGCCCAGAACCTCGACAGCCTAGTAGAATAAAAAGTTGTTTTAACGTCAGATTTTGTGTAGAAAATTAAAAAACACATATTGAGACATATTTTAGCCCATAATTCCATGCATTTCAAATTCAAAAATTAAACTTTCAAGTTTAAACTTCAAACCATTAAAGTATTAGACGATATCCATAGTCCATACCATAATCCAAACTCCTTGCACACCATAGTCCATATACAAAAACCCTCTAATAGACCTATAAAATCTCCAAAACTAAATATAATCTCAATGGGTGATGTTGAGATTGATTTCTCGTAACTTTGATACCTTCGATCCTATGGAAATCACAAAAATCTAGTTTTCTGAGGTTTCTATCTTCTCTAAAATGGGCTCTATTGGAATTTAGGTTTGAAATGAACCTAAAGCCCACCTTTTACAATCTTATTTTTATCAAACAACCCAAAAATGCCCCTCAACGAAGGGCATTTTTTCTCCTTGGTGGGGAGCAGGCAAGGTGCCCAGGCTCCTTGGACCGCGTAGGGGCTACGCAGTCCGCCTTTTGGAACAATGAGTGGAAAACACTCAAAAAGGCATTCTAATCACCTTTGAAAAACAAAGGATATTATTTATTCACTACATTACCCATTTCAATTTAGAATGTTCAAAGGTAACGAGGGGAAAATGTGATTGCCAATAAACACATTTTGTGGGAGAAATGCAACGCATCTCTTAGCGCCTAGCATGGTTGTTCAGCATTTGTTAACAAATAATGTCACCAATTCTCAAAAAACGTAATTTATGAAGATTCTGGAGGAATTGCATTACATTGCAAGGTTAGCTATTTCATTTAAAAAACTGGATGCTTTTTTTACCATCATATTTTGGTCACTTGGTAACCTGGGAAATCCGGTTTACATTTTGTTTATGGTAAAAATGGTGACTGTCTGTTCTAAAGGTCATTTCATCTCAAAAATGGAAACCTAACAATAATGAACCCATGATTGCACCACCCCGCTCGACAGGCAAGCAAAATCCTTTGTCAAGCAGCTCAAGACTGGTTCTAAATAAGCAGCTTGCCACTCCACAAATAACTCAAGGTTCTCTCAAGCAATACAATTCTGCAGACAAAAAGGAATTTTTAAACATGTTATAAAGGTGGAAGGTCTAGCTAAATTTCCAACTTCTTCATTTCCTATTTTGTGACAAGGTTAGCACTTGGCACCAAGTAAAAAATACAAAGACCAACCAGCTCTGTAAGTCTATAGAAGCCCAATGCAGAAGATTTTGCATGCTAATGACAAGATTATGACAGCTATAAATTTCATTTTCTTTTAATTGACAAAAAATGAGCCAAGGGAATAACATTTCTCCAGTTCCAGAAATCACCAGCAACTAATAGACCAAAACACCTACTTAGAGAAAGTAAAAAACAAAAATTAAAAAGAAATATGCCTTTGTGTAACTCCTGATTGTGTTTGCAGCCTTGTAAATCTCATACTCCATGGACTGCCCCCACGGGAAATTCACCCATGACCTCAATGTGCTAAGATCTGTCAAATCATGTGTCGGCAACTGTGCAGCCCGGCTGACCTGATCAAGCAAGTATGACTGAGCCGCTTCGAGACGCACCCAACAAACATCGCACACACGTTGTGGGTCGGCCAATCGAAACTTGGTCGGTAAAAGACTCCTCCCTTTTGAACAATCTCGGCAAAAAATCCCCCCACAAAACCGACAATGATGCCTTGAACACATGATAGGATGAAACCGCACACTACATAGCATGCAAGAAGATGCGGCACTATCGGCCAACCATTTTGGAGGCTCAGCTTCAAGAATCTCTCTCATGTTGTTTGAATTCACCTCAGTGAGTGTTTGAGCCATCTCTTTCCAAGCTTCCTCTATGAGCTGGTTGTTTGATACAAGTGAGATTCTATAGCTTTGGAGATCACCTGAGGCAAGAGAGTTCACTTTGCCACGAACCACAACCAACATCTCTCTCACCACATCCCACATGGTTAGCTCCTTCTCCTCATTGAGTTGGCCCCACCCCATATCTCCTTCTGGGAAGTATCCACCATTGAAGTTGAGACCCCTCACCCATTCTTCGTGATCACTTTGGGACATTGGGGGAATGGAAACAGGTATCCATACACCAGTTTCCTCAGAAAGAGGCATGTCATAGTAGAAATACTTCCTTTGTTTGTGGTTGTTGCCAGAATCTCCTTGGTTATGAGAAGTGCTATGAGATATTTTGTGTTTACAGTCAACTTGAATGGGAGGGCCTTCTTGAGCTTCCTCATTAGAGTCCATCCTTGAGCAACCATCCTCAATTTGTAGAGCATCGAGCTGGCTGAAAGGCTCCTATTTGTCAGGAAACCCCTAATATTATCAGATTTGCAGAAAACAATACTCACAAAAAGGAAACTCTTAAGAACATTCCGTAAATAGGCCAATAGAGGGACAAGGAGATCGACAACATAAAGATGAATTTAAGAAACTGAGACATAAAAATTGAATATAGAAACTTAAAACATCATGTCAGCAACTAAGCCACAACTACAATTGAAGCTTCCTAAAAGATTAAACACTTCACAATTTATAGGGTGTCCTACTGCTCAACGTCTCCATAGTTTACGATTTAAAAATTCATATATGCACTATTTGCTTGATTAGATAAATTTTAGAACCCTAGATGCTGCAATCTAAATGGTCTTGTAACATCTAAATTCATAAGACACATATTAATGACAGGTGACTGGTCCTCAAATTCATATTGCATAAGAAAGCCCAAACCTGACATATCTTTAAATGAATTCATTAAAGACGCTTGAGCCTTGTTTCCCAACAAAGTAGTTTCTATTATTTGTACTACATTATTACGCCAATTGTAAATGGGTGCATGCATGTCGCAAAATAAGAAGGGACCCTATCACTAGAGAGATTGTAGGGTAGTGAGAAGGGGATCCCTTTTATTACTGCAACACGTGTCTCTTAGAAGGGACTCCTTTATTTTTAAGAAATGTATACTCTATAATTATCCAGAAACCAGAATTGCATGGTTTGAAAAGATGTGATTTATTATTTTCTCCCTTTGCAACCCTTTGAAAAGGTGTGTGGTTTATTCATCTCTCCCTAGAAGTGTGGACTTTTATGCAAGTGCAACCCTTTGAAAAAGTGTGGATGCGACCATTTGAAAAGATGCTGATGGAACCATTTGAAGAAGTGCGTGGTTTATTATTCTCTCCCTTGAAATAATATATTGTCATTAAAATTTGGAATAAGTATTATTAATTTATTCTAATAATGTAATAACAATTCTATAAATTTGTTTCCAATTACACCATTATTCTTTATGTTCATATATTTCCATTCAATATACTATTTCAACTCATATCACACTATTTATATAGCATTTTAATAAGGGTGAGGGCCTTCAACTTTCCCTTAACTCGTCTCAGGCTGGGTAAAGGAGGTGGGATGGGTTAGGTAGGCAGCTAACATAAAACTTTGCCACATCTTATCATAAATCTTTAACCTATACTATATGCTCAAGCAAGGGCGTTCCCCTTAAGCGACGCAACTACACCACACCAAATCATTGGGATAAGGCTTGGATGATGATGATTTTAATGAAACCTGCAAAGCAAACACATCTACTAGTATCTATAAGAAAGAAAAGTACTCAACATATGTGATCATGTTGTCTAGATTGGTCGAAGGAAAGCAACAATGTCACTCGAGTGCGTGGGTCCAAGAGAGGTGGGTAGGTTCACTATGGTGTCTAAGCCTCTAGGGCACAAAAGGAAATCATGTCAATGGGGGTGTGGTTCAGGAACGCAATTAGGTGTAAAGTTAGCAGGGATGGTATGGTAAAAATGTGATCTAATATTTGGAGCAGCGATTTGGAGTTTTAAAATCATTTTCTAAGCCTCTAGAGGATCATACTCTATGGTGATTAAAAAATTGCCAATCAGGATTCCCGATCCGGATAAGGAATTGCCCAAGAACATGCATATTCTTGGCCTTAATTAAAAGGTCCAGACAATATATAATATATCATCACCATCATCATCATCATTACCATCATCATTTGAACCTTATCACAACTATTTGGGGTCGGCTACACAAATCATGTTCTGCCATTTGTCTCTATCAAAGGGCATAACCTAAGTCAGACTGCAGGCTACCATATCCCTTATCATTACTTCTATCCATGTCCTTTTGGGGTTCTCCTTACCCTTCTAGAGCCTTCCACTTGAACCAAATAGCCCCTCCTAACCAGTGTTATTCTAGTTAATATATAATATATCTAACTGATATCACAACGTTTCAATTGTGCTATTGGCTAAAGTTCTCCGACCTTTGCCATAAGGTCCGAGGTTTGGAACACCCCCACCCCCAAACAATAAGACTCAGACCTCCAACATTAAGGTTGTTAAACAAGGTCTAGCCAAATAGGCTCTTCACGTTATTTGTAATAGTTCATAACGTCAAATTTTACATACTATATATAATATAGAATTTTTTTTTTTTTTTGCAATAGTTATCTGTTTTTTTTCCCATATCACAAATCCGATCGTGATTGGTAGGTGGGCAGTCCACCGCATCGATCCAATTTTTACAACCTTGGTTTTTAATATAGATAAGCATTTTGCTTTTCCCTTTTTTTTTTTTATATCTTTTTGTGTGCGTGCATCTATTCTCTTTTGGTGGTTTATTATAATTATGTTTATTTGGTTGGTTTTTTTTTTGGAGGGGGGGGGGGGGATTGAGTATTACATATTCAGTAGGGTTCAACCTTCTATTTATTTTTTTTAATATTAGGGTTCAGCCTTCTATTTTTTATTTTTTTAATATTAGGGTTCAGCCTTCTATTGTATCAAGCAATATTGTCAAGACCAGATTGGTGACCGAATAGGTGAGGGCACTAGTCCAATCGGACTAGCGGCTCCGGACCACTTCACTAATGAGTTAATTTTAAAAAAAAAAAAAGAGAGAAAAATTTATGGAAAATGTATAAAAAGAAAGTCAAAGAATTATTACAAGATACAAATAGACAAATATTTTAAGGGATTTTACAAATTGTAAAAGCCCTCAAATTTTAAAACAAAAAAATTTAAAATTGCAAACTCTAATTTTTTATTTTATTTTATTTTATTGTATTTTCAGATTTACATTTTGAGTGCTCTTACAAATTGTAAATGGCCAATTTAGAACTGAAAAACTTTGCAAGCAATAAATTTCTTTTTTTTTTTCTTTTTTTTTTGTAGAAGTCCTCAAAATTTAAAACAAAAAATAAAAATTTGCAAACTATAGTTTTCTTCTTTCTTTTTTTTGTATTTTCAGATTTACATTTTGAGAGCTCTTACAAATTGTAAAGCCCTCAAAAATTTAAAAATGAAACACTTTGCAAGCAATAAATTTCTTTTCTTTTTCTTTTTCTTTTTTTTTTTGTATTTTCAGATTTACATTTTGAGAGCTCTTACAAATTGTACAAGCCCTTAAAAATTTAGAATCCAAACGATTTGAAAGAAAATAAATTTCATTTTCTATTGTACTTTTGTTTCTACATTTTAAGGGATAATAAATTGTCAATGCTGAAAATAAATTTGCAAACAATAAATTTCTTTTATTTTCGGTTTTACATTTTAAGGGCTTTCACAAATTGTGCAAGCCCTTAACATTGAAAAATGAAAAATGCAAAATAATTGCACACAATAAATTCTTCTTCGTCTTTTTATTTTTTTTATTTTTTAATTTGTTTTGCATTTTGGGTATTACACGTTAAGAGCTTTTAAAAGCCCATAAATAAACAAAAGATGCAAGAAAAATAGTAAAAAAAAATCTATTTTGCACTTTTGAATTTTCGATTTTACAAATAAGGGCTTTTACAAATTATAAAAGCCATTCAAAGAAACAAAAAATCAAAGTCAAAAGTATAAAAATTGCACCAAAAAAAAAAAATATGGTAAAGCTCTATGCCCAAAACCCAAGATTTTTTTTTTCTTTCTCAAAAAAAAAACCCCAAGAATTTTTCAATTTTTTTCTTAGTTTCTTTAAATCCAAAACAAAAAATTAAAATAAAGCGCACACACACTAACTTGGCAGTTGAAGGTTTTCTCCTTATGGCCAGATTTTAATTGGAAACTGGCCGAATTCGGCCCTTAGGTCCTCAGTTCTTTAGGATGAGGGAGAGTTAAAGAGAGAGAACCGCTAAATCCTGTCTCTCTTTGTAAAAGTCTTTTGTATACCCCAAATAAAACCTTAATACCTCCTTTTACCAAAATGTCCCCATACAAAACCAAAAAGGTCATCATCATCATCCGAGCCTCATTGTCGGCTACATGAATTATGTTATGTCATTCTGCTCTATCAAAGGCCATACCCTTACTCCCTTAGTAAGACCATAAGTCAGTATATCTCTTTTCACTACTTCCATCTATGTCCTTTTGGGGGCCTTCCTCTGACCCTTTTAGAGCCTTTCACTTGAACCAAATCGCGCCTCATAACTGGTGCTATTCTAGGTCGATGGTGCACATGGCTAACCTACCTAAGTTTACTTTCCCTCATCTTATTGCATGTTGGATACAACCCAAAGTTCCCTTGGACGTATCCAATTATGAATTATATATTTTCTTGTCTTGCATTCATCCATCTCAACATCCTCATCTCAGCTACACTCATTCGATGGATATGTTGCTTCTTGATCGCCCTATATTCCATCCCATAACACATGGGTAGTCTTACAATCATCCTATAAACCCTCTTCAGTTTCATTGGCATGCGGCAATCACATAAAACTCTCGAAGCACATCTCCACTTTACCCACCCAACTCTAGTTCTATGTGCAACATCTTCCTCAATCTCTCCATTTTCATGGATTATCAACCCTAAATATCAAAAATAATATCTTGTATGTATCTCTTAGCCGTTAATCTTAACTACTTCCCCGTTTCTTCTCCTATTATTAAACCAAAAAGGTTAAAAAAACTACTTAAAATTTTTTTTATTAAAGAACAAAAAAAATTTCACAAAATTGCTCTTTTCAGGACCGGCGTGTTCAGTCATGAACCAATGGGCTGGTCCAAACATTGGAGAGGTCGGTCCACAAACTGGACCGGCCAGTCCTCCAGCCCATGATCGGATTGACAGACCAGCCAGTCTAGGGACTTGACCAAACCAGCTAGGCCACCAGTTCGCGGGTTTCCAAGGGTACTTATCTCTCCACTATATTAAGTGGCATGTTGGAGCATGTGAAGCAATGTTGCACATATACATCTATTTGCCCAACAAATTACTATCCATATAGTCTAATACTAGATTTGTACAGGATACGTTTCAATGGTATCTTGCTTGTCACTTTGAAGTTCGTCAAAATTTTGACTCCCTATTTTACAAAGTACCATATAATATTAAGGATTGTATAAAATAATGCTCTAGTGCTAAGGATGATATGTAAAATAGTACTATATTACTTATTGTTATTGCTGATGTAGCTGATGTTGAGTCCCAACTTTTTATGCTTCTTTATCATTAGTTAGGTCACATTCTCAAGTAGAATTACTACCACTTGATGTACTACACAATTCCTTGATTATTGGTGTAATAGTTCTTTTCCATTTTGTGGCTTTGAAATTTTTTATTGAAGTTAGAATATTTAGATATCCGCTTAATCTTTGGGTTAGATATTTCATAACTTTACTTTTGAATGTAATCTTATCATTAATTCCTGTCTAAGTTAGATATGTATATGTTTAGTTCTCTAAATTGATACTTATCGTGTGCATATTGTATTGCATCCTTTGGTTTTAACATGTCAGATAGGATACCCATACCTGTAACAGCATCCTAGATTTTACAAAAACCACAGTCATATCTGCACTTTCTGTATCCATGTTTGAATCCATACAATTGCATCATAGATATCAAATATCTCCCTATGAAGCCCTTCCAATGTGCTTCACAAGGTGACTGTGAGGCGTGATGCCTAGCAGCTCATGGCTAGGTACTCAATGTTCTAACCAAGCAACCAAAAGAGCTTTTGGCTAATAAGGTCTTTTCACTGGAAGCAAGCATGATTTCCGAAGCAACTAAAAAGCAAGATTTCTAAGCTTTTGTATGAATAGCCAACTTAGAAATCAATTGACTATCACGTAAAATAGTAGGCAGATATTCTCAAGTGCAGGGAAGCTCTTCACAAGATGTTACCGTAGCTTTGTACATTCCTATTTCTCCCCTTCCCCTCATCCCTCTTCCAGTCTACTCGTTCTCCCAACGCCATTGCCTTCCCTTTTCCCTCCATTTCCCAAACTTGTAAGCTCTTTGCGCGTGTAGGGCACTTTATGCAACTTGATGTAAATTATCTACTATCAATGCAAACTGCTTATCATGAAAGCAAATGCTACAATTCAAGCCAAAAATGTTGGGACCCTACTTCATCCTAAGCACCTCAAAACTAGTAGATAAACGTGAGAGACTAGGACTGACCCCAAATGTGACAAGCAAGATTATAACAAAAAAAAAAACAAACAAATTGAAAACCAACATGAAGGGGCGGACCAGTCGCATTAGCATGTGGTGGAGCCAAAAGAGGCAACAGGTATAATGGCGTCAGCACTGAAAATCTAAAAAAGGCGCTTGAATGATGGTGGAGCCCAAAAGAGGCTATTTGTTGAGGGTGTTGATACTGATGTCTTAGTGTTTATTTGTGGGGTTCAGGTCAGATGATCATGCGCTGGAAATTTTTTTCTGGGATAATTGCAGTGTCTAACATGCTTTTCTAGAAGACATTAATGTGAAGCCAAAAGGGATTAAAAACGGAAAGTGTCCTTAGAATCATGTAGTCCATAAAAATTCATTCACGTCAATCCTTTATACACAGATTTAAATACTTGTTTACAATTGGTTTAGTTAAAATGGACCAATTCAATACATATTAGCACCAAAAATTAACATACTACAATTTACATAATGGCACTCTGGCATCAATATAAACCCATGAATACCAATTTAAGTAAAAGCGAATTGTGAATTTTTGTAGACCCAAAAACGCATAAATGAATGATAAAATGAAATGAAATCAGAGGCTTTATGTTCCCAAATCTCTGCAGATAATGGCCGGTCACAGAAATTGGTAAACTTGATAAAGCTATATATTACAATGGCAAAGCACCTCCACAAAGATTTTAACAATCCCAAACCCCATGCACCCCTATTTCTCATTCCAGAGTCCTTTTCCTTCTTTTATTTCCATTTTTTTTAGTCCATCAAAGTAAAATAGTTTATTCCACCCTTGGATTCCTTAGACTAAAATTCAAAGAAGAAAGTATAAATACAAACTTATGCGTGAATTTTCTGCAGAAAATAAGCAACCATAGCCCATTACCAATTATACATAACATAGAGCAGCCTTGCCTGACCCATAAAGAAAAGTACACAGAAAAAAACCAATTCCCCCAAAACATTAACAGCCCAAATAATCAAATTTGTTCAATTGAATAAAAAACATAAAAAAAAATCAAACATAACTGCAAGAGGGTTTAGTAGTACCGTGAGAGAAACGGATTGGAGATTAATATGTTCTAAGTTGAGGCCATCAAACTTTTCGTCCAAAACCTCAGATTCTTCGACAAAAATTTCAGGATAAAGACCAATCTTCTCCATGGGATAATCTTGCAATAGAAACCCTTATACTTCAACAGTATTGTTTGTTCATTCCCGATGGATCATTTGCAGACCCATCAAACCCCGCTCGAGAGAGTGATAGAGAGAGAGAGGGTTTTGCAGTTGGAGAGAGGGGAAAAAGGGAAGAGGGATAGGAGACGAGAAGAGACTTTGCAATCGAGGCAGAGAGATAATGATTGCAACAATGGCGAAGGAATTTCGGAAAGGGTGGAGAGAGAGAGAGAGAGAGAGAGGATGAATGCGTGTATAGATTCGCTTTTGACTTGCGTTTCCGTCGTTTGACAATTCTCTCTATTATTATAGGAAAAAGTTCATTTAAAGTTGCAACTTTAAATTGTCGAGAGATGCTCCTCAAAAATCCTGAAAAAGGTTATTTTAATGTTAAAAACATTCTAATTGATTATCTTGATATCAAGATGTATGAATATAATTAAAAAAAAAATCAATATAATAAACTAGGCATCTCGTAGTAATACATTATCTAGACCATCAATTTTTAAAATTTTTATATATTAATTTTAACCGTTTTTAGAATTTTAAATTTTATAATTAAATATAAAAATAGATTTTTAAATAATTCTAAAACAAATTTACTAACAAAATTAGATGATAAAATTTAGATGTACGCCTTAATTGGATTGCTTAACTTTGCAACCTTATAAAAACCATACCCCTTATTATATAATCTTGCGGGAGCAAATTATTTTGGATAGAGAGATACGCGAGGGGACCCAAGGGTGCAAAGGAAGGCAATAAAAAAGGAATCTTATTTTGGGATGAGCTGGAAGAAGATATTCCTCTTCTCAAAAGATTCAGTATTCATTGGAAAGTATTTTCCTCGTTAGGTTTTCTGGAGGTCGTCTGACTGCTATAAATTCATCTCATACTTTATTGGGAAAATTACAAACCCAACCACCACACCCCCCCCCCCGGCCTTTCCCCCCTCCCAAAAAAAAACAGTTATTCTATCAACTTACCCCCCACCTAAACTTTCTTCACTATCTTTTTTTAAAACCCAACTTTCCTAACAAATACCCCCAATACAAAAAATGAGCTTTCTTTTATGAAGATACCTTCCCATACTTTAAAAATTTATTTTCGGGTCCAATACAACGTAATTAACAGATCGAATATATAAAATGCCGGAACGCCCCTCCAACAGCAAACATCCCCGGACCGCAATAAACAAACCCCCATAACCACCAATCTGCCCCTAAAAACACCGAACTTGGGTAGTTCCAGTGACATAAACGCCGGATTGCCCACTAAATATGCCAGACTGAGCTCCCAAAATGCCGGACTGCCACTCAGAACGTCGGACTGGGGCCGTTCCAGTGACATGAAACACTAGACTGCCCCATAAAATTGTCGGATTCTACAACTCCAAATTGCCCCTCATAACGCCGGACTGGGGCAGTCCAGTGACAAACACCGGACTATCCCATAAAAATGCCAAACTTACCACCCATAGCGCCGGACTGGTCCACAGAACGCCAGACCGGGCAGTTCCAGTGAGATCAAACGCCGGTGTGCCCATGAAAACGCCGGACCGATAGTTCCTAATCGTCAGACCATAGTATTGAACGCGGGACTGGCTTCCTAACCGTCAGACTACCCCTCATAATGCCAGACCGGGGCAGTTCTAGTGACACAAAAGCTGGACTGCCCCTTAAATATGCCGGACTATTCTACCAAAAGCCGGATTGCCCTTCATTTTTGTCAGACCGCAATATGGACTGGCCTCCTTAACCGCCAGACCGTTCCACTTAAACGCCGGGCTTACTCCACAGGACTGCCGAACCGTCCCACTTTAACGCCAAACTGGCACCTCAAGACCGCCGGAGCACCCCAAATTAACGTCAGACTACCCATAACAGATCTTCATTAGTGACATTTATACATTGTGAATTTCTAGAAGCTCCTTGCAGAGCTTCATCAGTGTTATTTATAAATTGCAGGGATTTTAATGTTTGTCTATAACCAATAGCCACACCCAGGGATTTCAATGCTTGTCCTCAGATGCCCATAACTTAACAAACCATAGCGACACTTAATCATGTCCTCAGTTGCACATACTATGATACAAATTAAATTAAAAAAGACAAATAAAATAAAATGCCAAGAAGAAGACATGCGACTTCAAAGTTAAAAAATATATTAGAATGGGACATTTCATTAGCTGGCTGCTTGATAGAGTAGCTTCAATTGTACAAAAAGAATGGACATTTCACTCTTAGAAACTCACTACTTAACATATGTTTCAAACATACATATCAAACTCAAAAATACATATCAATGGCAAAATACAACTGAATCACTTTCTTCGCCTCAGCCATTTTTTTTGCCAGCTTGTAATACCCTTTCCCTTTACAACGGGTTTCTCCCTAGTTCTTTCCGCTTGGACATCTCCCTCTCTCTTCTTGATCACAAATTCTACCTTGATTCCTCATGCAAGGCCGGCACAACTTGAATTTGTCAGTTTTTGCTATTGTCATTTCTACTCTTTGTTCTCCTCTCATTTTTATCATAAGTCTCGCTCTCTCTTTCCTCATCTCCTTCCTCAGTCTTGCTTTCCTCATCTCCCTCCTCAGTCTCGCTTTCTTCATCTCCACTGTCTACCTTATCTCTCTTGATTTCTTCATCCCCATCATCTCTCTCATCGCTTCCACTTTTGCCATTTCCACCATCTCTCTCATCGCTCTCGCTTCCACCATCTCCCTCCACCCTCTCATCGGCATTTGTCTCCATAAGAGTATCCTGCAATAGCAAATCATGTGCGGCTTGTACATAATGTCTTGATTTCCCTGCTAATACTTCACTCCTAAGTGCAGCTTGTAGCGTCCCTATATAGGTTAATT